TCAGACGCGATTTATTGAAATGCACTTTTTTCCACCCTCTACTTCGACATCCGACTGCATCTTACCCCAGGAATATTCCAACATGTCTTTCCGGTACAAGATCAGACCGGAAGAAGAGCAGTTTCCTCTGGCATTCAGTTTGATCATATACACCGAACCGGACCGAGTGCTTCGTCTACTTCGTGCCATCTATCGTCCGCACAACTTCTATTGCATTCACATTGATCGAAAAAGTGAACCTGCATTTGTCGAACGGATTGAACGATTGAAACAATGTCCGGATTTGACACATAATGTGTTCTTTGTCGACCCGTCGGAACGGGTGGATGTTCAGTGGGGGCGAATGAGTGTGTTGGATGCGGATCTGACCTGCGCCCGAATCCTACTCGAACGAGCTCCCGTCAATTGGAAGTATTGGATCAATTTAAACGGACAAGAATTCCCGTTACGTACGAATTGGGAACTGGTTCGTGCTCTGCGTCTGTTAAACGGGGCCAATATTGTCGAGGCGATTTATCGTCGGCGCAATATAAATCGATGTCCACCACCGGACTGGCTTCCATTCAATGTGAGTGTAATTTACTTCAGGATCAATGAATGCGATTTGGTGGAGTGAACTATTCGTCCGATGATGCATGAAATATTGTCGAAGAAAATTGTTTGATGCAAGTGCCAAATACTAAAATTTACTCAATCACAACTCAGTCAAAATCATTTAGGCTTTGATCAGACTGTGATCAACATCAAATGAAACAGGTCAATGTATACATATTTTTTGCCCGCATATGCAGCATATGCGGGATTGAAACATCTTTGGCGTAGATGCGACCTTTCACTGGAGTTGAAAGATCGCGTATATTGTGCTGGTGTTCGATCAGTTCTGCTTTATGGTTGTGAGACCTTGCATTTGCTAGAAGAAGACATCCATCGACTAGAGGTTTTCGATTATCGGTTTTTACGCAGTTTAGTCCACGTGGGATGGAGCAAACGGGTTTGTAATCTGGAAGTAATTCTTCTTGTGTTTGGAAGTCTATCAGGTATAAAACTGCGACACACAGAATTCAGATTAGTAGACTTCGCTAGCTAGGGCACGTATTGCATATGCCCAGCCATTGTCTGCCGCACCGAGCTTTATTCGCTGTTGCTAATCCGGGCTGGGGGAAACCACGTGGAGGTCAACAGATGACGTGGAGACGAGGCATGAAAAAAATGCACCAGAGCCATTAGGTAGAATAGGTATCTCTCGCCATCCAGGTTGGGGTACGAAAGACTCCAAAACCGGTTGTATGAAGACATTAAAATATATTGCAGCGAACCGACAGCACTGACGTTCTTGTTGTCATTTCTCAGCAGGCCAGAACGCTTGAAACGGTATATATGCAGAGTTCGATTGCGTACTCTGTGTGTTGACCATAGTGGCTCATCTTCTTCTCCCTCTCTCAAAATAGACCCAGCCCTGTCCACCTTAAATTTTACCGCTAACCTTGTATGCATTGCGAGTTTGGCAGCGATCTGTGAAGTTAGCTTCACTGTATCTTGCTGTACGATGACGATGAAGAAATCCACATTTGGGCGAGCATCCGATAACATGAACCTCAGCGGATTTATCTTCCAATTCTAATGACAGGAAACTAGTGGTAGGTTGAGACTAGGCAAGATTGGATGGCTAAGCACTGATCTTCTTCAGGAGTTACTACCACTCAAGATTAGATAAAATTGCTGAAGCAGGGACCACTGAACCGGTTATGATAAAACAAATCCTCTATCTATTTTACTTTCGTTATCGAATATACAAATGGTATAAAATACTATAAAAATACTATTTTCAGGAAGCAAGAAGCTGCCAATTGAAAGAACTGCTGTAAAACAGTAAAAAAGAAACATTCGGAGTAGGCGGTGGGTTTTGAACGCACGTCCTTTCAACGACTTTTACCGCTTTACCAATACCGACCAAGCAAGGCATTACAATGGTCAACTGCTATATATTACGATACTTGATACTCCACTTTTATAGATGAATCCGTTTGATCAGACTAGAAATCTAATAGAAATTTAGGCCAAATGGACTTTGGTTTTTTTTCGACATACAGACTGATTGCCTGAAGCTTTCCCCAAAAATATGAATGACCATGCGCCTGACTTCATATCATATATCGTTGCAATTTCAGATAGACTTGTGATTCACGACTGGTGTGAGCCTGACTATACCGTTGGTTTTACAAAAAACGGAGACTTTTAGTTTTTATTGCATATTTGAAGATTTTGGAGTTAGCCACCGGCGAGGAATTTCACATTTAAGCGAATTCGGTAGGTATTCACATCGGGCGATTTCTATCTAACCAGTCAGGCAAAGAAATAGCTGCGCATTGCACACAAAGCTTATCCTTAGACCGTAATTGAAAAAATAAAACAAAAGAATAACTTGAAACATTGGGTCCCCTTTATCCAATTCGTTAGAATCGAGAGCAGACAAATTCTACGAGATGTTTACATTCATTTTAATTTCTTCAGTCGCTACAACGTAAAACAATCTGGTA